ATGAATACTGGGATCAATTCTATTATTTTTAATGATCTTTTACTCTAAAAGTAATGTGTATAGCTTTGGGTAGGATTGGGTTATAAATATTTGAGGTTTAGCTATATTAATTGAAACACAAAGAAAGAAACAAAACAAAAAACCAGGTCCACACAAAAAAGATTGCTGTAGATTTTTAAAAAACAATAATAATTGGGCAAAAGTTTGGGGTCCTGATTTTGGTAAAACCCCATAGCCCAAGATTTTAAAAAGTGACTAATGATTTTGGATGTGTGGGAGATTGGGTGCCCTATTTGATATTTCTTTCAAGGGGGCTGATTTTCACCCCAAATCACTAGTCAGTTTAAAATATCTTGGCCATTGATGCCAGCGGTATTTTGTTTGCATAAGGACTACACAATGTGGCATTCAGTACAGTATATATGCTCCTGCCAACATATATGGCAAACGCTAAGTTCGCACCCTAGCAATAATTTGGTCCTCTGAAATGCAACAGTGATGCAAACATACATCAACCAATTGCCTTCAGGGTGAACTTCACCCCTGCATTCCATAAGAAACCTGGGGTAGTTCATTTTTTGTAAGAAGTAATGGATAACAGAAGCTGCCTCTCTGCTCAAACCAATGGGCAGGCTGCAGGGATGCCATATACCCTTTCCTTGGCTATTTTTCCAGGAGTGATCCAGAAGCCTACACCTTAATGCATAAGGATTTAGGGGTTCCTCCCCTGGCTTCCCAACACCACTAGGCTGGACTATTTGGGCTTGCTGTCAAACATCCCTTCACCCAGCACAAGGGCCATGGGTGCTGCACTATGTCTGCTCCCCATTTTTACCCCCTTGCCACCAGCAGCAGCCATACCATAGGTCTTACATGAATGGCCTTGTCTACGTAGATGAAGGTACTTCACCCTAATGGATACGTTTTCCCAAAGGGATGAAGGCCAACTTCCATTTTTTACCCATACAGTTTGTAACTGCAAAACCAGTGCTGGAATTTTTGCAACCAGCTCAATGATGTCAGATGCAAACCTCAGTAGAAGCATCTCTAATCACCTGGATTGTACCTAAAATCCGGCAATTAGAGGTATGAGGATTCAGAATTGTGGCTTAAATATAATTGCAGGTGCAGATTTAGTTTCTGCTCAGCACACCCACAAAAGGGAGGCAGCCTATTTGAAAGTTTGAACTTGAATGACCTTTTATCTTATTCATACCATGGGAAGGAATACTCCTTGCTACCTCCCTGGCATGCTGTTTTGCTGGTTAACGCTGGAAAAGTTGCTATTTATTAAAACTAACATCCCAAATAATACTTAGGCTGTATATTCAGTAAATAGAAAGTAACTGAAAATGGACTCCATTGAAATTTTTATCTTAGTTAAGTTTCTGCTCGACTCATGGTTCCTCTCTGGGATGATGGCGAATTTTTTTTTTAAATGTTTTTCTTAATGGAGATAAACCTGATATAAGAAAGCTAATAATATGGGGCAGGTTGGAAGTTGGAATACTGGAGTACTATATGAAGCATTAGCAGACAAGATGGAGAACTTGTATACTTAAAATTCAGTCTGTGCTTCCTTAAAAGTATAATTTATCCCCCCACACTTTCTAATACAGTACTATGCCTTTAAGCCTGGATTCTGCTAAGAAATATGTTGTCCCCCTTTTTTCCCTTTTCTTTTAAATAAATTAAACATACAAAATTCTGCAAATATTTTGGCAAAGAGCTTTTTTTGTCTTCTTTTCATTGCAGTCATTTCTTTATTGATTCACATCTGTAGAGTCTCATTTCCTTAATTTTTGTTCATCGTTACAATGTTTTGAGTAGTAACATTTTAGTTTGTGTTTTAATAGAACACAATAGTGCATCAATTGTATAGAGACAGAGGGTGAACATTTTAAATAGGCCTATAGGAGTTTTAATGGGATTTTAGTGCCTATCTTTCCTGAATCCCTCTGAAAATAGCCGAAATCATTGCAGGAAAAGAGAAATAGCGAGTAAGGGGCTGATCCTGCAGTTCTTCACTCCCATTACATCCGCATCTTGAATTTCATTTTTGCCTAAACGAGGATTACAGGATGAAGCCCTAGAGCATAAAAGGTGCTTCTGAAAATGTCACCCAAGAAACGTAGACTCCTAAATTCCATTTTCAAAAATTATTTGGGCACTTAATCAAAGATCTTTAAAGGTATTTAGGTGCCTAATTCCCACTGATATTTGGAGTTAGGAGCATGAATACCTTTGAGGATCTGGGCTGTAGGATCTTGTCTCATTGAAAGTTAATGGGAGTTAGGTACCAAGGATCTTTTGAAAATCCTATTAGTGTCTTTGGCATCTTTACACAACTAAATAGCTCTAAAAATCTGCCCCTAAGTCATTTTTGAAAATAGGTGCGTCTGAAAATTTTGCTCCAAATCTAAATTCCAAATGCCACTCCTATGTTTGCAAGTGTATTCCCACGGTGCAACAATGGGGGAGCTGAACGTATGTGTCCATACAGAGGGTACAGAATGGCATGGGCACAAGCTCTGTACAAGCCTCAAGTGTAGCAGCAGAAAGGAAGTGCGTGACGGGAAGGACACTGGCTGGAGTAGGCTACAGCATTAGGAACTACAAGTGCTCTGTGGGAGAGAATTCTTCTTACTCCCAGCACCCAGCCCAGCTAACCCAGTCCAACTGCTGGGTGGAGGACTTTAGCCTAAGCAAGCATCCCTATGTCAACATATAGAGTGAACCCCCCTAGTGCTTTAGTGACAAATCCCACAAAGTGCCAAGGGCTCTCAACTCCTAAGGACTACCAGAGACATTGTGGGTGGTCGGCATCTTGCAGCAGCAGGCCTGGACTCAGGCAGAAGTCCCCCCGGAGTCAGGATTTGGCCCAAGGTTTGCCTTTCCACAGAAGATTTCTTTCCAATGACATGGAATGTCAAAGCATGCATTCCTAGAAAAACACAATATTTTAATTGCAATCTCTGAGTTTGATCACTAGCTGTCTCAATAACATATGCAAATACAGCCATTTAAATGCAGAGCACCTTCAAACAAAAATGTTAAGATACCTGCAATCAAGTTACAATTACACTTTTTAAAGAGAACACATTACACAAGCTCAGTATGTATGATTAGTTTGAAAACTGTCTGTACAACTGGTGCAGAACAAGGCACCATGCAGAATCATGTGGCATGGGTATGGCTGAGTTTCCAAGATCTTCTGTTATTAAATATATATCTCTTTGCATTGTCACTACTCCATCATAATTCAGTGCTCAGGTCAAACATCGTCACTAGCTTTTAAAATGTGAAGTGATAGCTGAGTTTTTCCTTATGAAAATATTCAAAGATAAGGGAATAATTTTCTATTTGTCTCGCTATATGTAAAAAGATGATAAAGTGAGGCAGCTGAAATACTAATCTTCAGTGATCATGAACAAGATTGGGGCCATAACTCATCAGAGGTGAAGGCTTCCATGAGTTATAGTGCCTTCACCATAAATGTCATTTGTTCTGCTCATCCTTCTCTACGGTATTTTAACATGCTTAATTTTTTTTATTAGTTATGTTTTGGTGGGAAGTTTTATTTGAATAGTATTCTGCTTCTGCACTAACCATTCTTACTGTTGATGTTAGAATGGAGTGGAAAACCAGGGTCTACTTTTAATCAGAGACAGTGAGAAAAAGCAACGTTATTGTTCATCATTTTGGCGAGTTACATATATATTATATGTATGTATGTAATTCTTGACCAAACCCTAACCTCCTTTCTCAGGCACTGGGCCCTTTGTATAGAGCCTTAGATTTGCTTTTCCAGTGTCTGGGGTGAAAAGAAGAGGACAAGAAAGACTGTAGAGCAGCAGTTAGATAAGTTCATGGAGGATGGATCCATCAATGGCTATTAGCCAAGATGGTCGGCGATACAACCCCATGCTCTGGGTGTCCCTAAACCTCTGACTGCCAGAAGCTGGGTCTGGACGACAGGGGTTGGATCACTTGTTAAAGTGCCTTGTTCTGTTCACTCCCTCTGAAGCAACTGGCACCGGCCACTGTTGGAAGACAGGATAATGGGCTAGATGGACCATTGCTCTGACCCATATGGCCATTCTTATGTTCTTGCTTTCTTTCTACCCATAGAATAACTACACCTCTACCCCGATATAACACTGTCCTCGGGAGCCAAAAAATCTTACCGCGTTATAGCTGAAACCGCGTTATATCGAACTTGCTTTGATCCGCCGGAGTGCGCAGCCCCGCCCTCCTGGAGTGCTGCTTTACCGCGTTATATTCGAATTCGTGTTATATCAGGTCACGTTATATCAGGGTAGAGGTGTAATTGGTCTCATTTGTGGATTGGGAAATGACATCAGGACCGATTGTTTGTTTTTTAGAAAAAGTAACAAAAAAAAAAACAAAAAAAAAAGCCCACAGAACAATAATTATTAAAAGAATATATAGGCCATTATTTTTTTTAAAATATAGGAGAATAGATAATGGGCCAGCTCCTGCTAATACTGCTTCTAGCATTCCAAACCTCTGCCCTGCTTCCAACAGTACCGTTTAAAAATGATAACAAAATCAACCCGACAAATTTCCTGCCATGTTTCTTCTTTTTTTCTGAATGTGAAACTACTCCACACCAAACAAACAATTGCAGAGGATCCATATGGTGGGTGGGCAATATTCAGCCCTAGATCACTGACTGGCATGAAGGATGAATAATGTGTTGCCAACAGAGCATCACCACTTGTTTCATCTGCTTGTTACATCTTGGGGAACATTTTCAAAAGAGCCTAGGTGACTTAGGGGTCTAACTTTTTGGCACTTATTCAGTAATTTATCCAGCATGTATCCTAATCCATTTTAAACCATGTTAAATACAGGTCTTATAACAACAGAACATTTTCAATATTATTTTCAGGTTACCTCAGATTAAAAATGGCTGAGAGGATAATCACGCTTCCTTCCTGTCTTTGTGCAGGTTGGGAAACAGCAACTCTAACAACATGCATCGAAGGCACACAACCCTTCGGGAGAAAGGCCGGAGACAGGCTATCCGAGGCCCAGCCTACATGTTTAACGAAAAGGGCACCAGCCTGACCGTGGAGGAAGAACGCTTCCTGGATTCTGCGGAATATGGCAACATCCCCGTGGTGCGGAAAATGCTGGAGGAGTCCAAAACCTTGAACTTTAATTGCGTTGATTACATGGGACAAAATGCCTTGCAGCTAGCAGTGGGGAATGAGCATTTGGAAGTGACTGAACTCCTTCTGAAAAAGGAGAATCTGGCTCGAGTTGGAGATGCGCTGCTGTTGGCCATCAGTAAGGGATACGTGCGCATTGTGGAAGCAATATTGAACCATCCAGCCTTTGCGCAAGGGCAGCGTCTCACACTAAGCCCCCTTGAGCAGGAACTACGCGATGATGATTTTTATGCTTATGATGAAGATGGAACTCGGTTTTCTCATGACATCACCCCCATAATACTCGCTGCTCATTGCCAAGAGTATGAAATTGTTCATATCTTGCTTCTGAAAGGGGCACGGATAGAAAGGCCCCATGACTACTTCTGCAAGTGCAATGAATGTGCCGAGAAGCAGAGGAAAGATTCCTTCAGTCACTCTCGATCGAGAATGAATGCCTACAAAGGATTAGCAAGTGCCGCTTATTTGGCTCTTTCTAGTGAAGACCCCGTTCTTACTGCTTTAGAACTAAGCAATGAATTGGCAAGACTAGCCAACATTGAAACTGAATTTAAGGTAATTCAACCTAAAAGGTTTTCCTTCCGCTAAATGTGATAATAGTGGCATATATTTTACATATGAAAGAGTGTTGGTCAGAAAATCAGGGCTCAGCAAGAACATCCTGAAAATTCAAAGCAAGGAATCAAATTCTAGGTCAGCCTCAGATTAAGGGAAATCTTGGTCAGAATTTAGATTCAATTAGAGCTTCCATCAGAAATGTGAAATATGATACATACTTTTCCGGAGAAAAAAATGCTTCCAGTTCTCCTATCATTATGAGAAAAACCTCAGATTGAGATTTTTTCCCCCCCATTTCTAGAAGTGACAATCCACTAGAATCTAATAAATGCTATTTTACTCTGAAAGCCAGGCATTAAAGTTCAAGTATTTACATATTAGATGATTTACTGTGTTAGAGGGGACAACTGGAAAATATGATTTCCCCCCTCCTCTCTTCACCAACACCATGTTGTATGTAAAAAAAAATGAGGGCAAAGCAGCCATTTTAAGTCCCTATGGAAATGTCATTATCTCCTAAATTCCTACATATTTGCATAGAGCTGGGCAAATCTTTTTCAGTAAATAGTCAATTTGGTGTAATAAGTATATTAAGCAAGTTTTGGGGAACTAAAACTATTCATGAATTTGGGTCAAATTTGGCCAATATTTTCAGTGAATTTTTTTTCAGAAATGTTAAAAAGCTTCATTTTGACATTTTCAAAATGAACCATTTAAACACTTTTGTTTGGAAATGACATTTTAGAAATGCAATTTCATTTAGGAAATGGCAGTTTGGAACAAAATTTGAAACATTTTGTTCAACCCAAACAAAACATTTTTGGTTATTCATTTGGGTGAGGGGGGGAAAAAAACAACAAAAAATCAGTTTTGGGTCAAAACAAACCAATTTCCCCCCCAGATTTTTCAAACCAAAAAAGTCAATTATTAACTCGTCTAATTTTGATGAGAGACGGAGAGAGATGGCAAGACTTCATGCCTTGTATTCTTCTCAGTAGCCCATTTCAACTCTTTACCTGCCCGTTTGCAACTGTTTTCTCTTGTATAGGCATTAAGATAGAGGTGAAAGGGCACAGGAGTTCTGAATATTGGTGTGGCAGAAAATATTATTCATAGCATTTAAAATGTGTTAACTACATATGATTGGTAGCATACTACTTCTGAAATTCAGAACTCTGTTTTTGAAAGCTAAGCTGAGGTCATCTTCACCTTTTAACATATTGTAAGAAAACCCCCAGCTACCCAGAACTTGTACATTGCACACCATCGCCACTCAGAACTTCATTGTGTCAGAATGATTGAAAGATGGATTTTCTTGCTCCAAAAGCAAAGGCTCCTATATCTTGTGCTGAAGGACGATCTGTTTGGGAATCACTGATCTAGATTGCTGCCAGACAAATTAGAAGTGGATAGCCCAGTGGTTAGAGTGTTACTTCAGGACTTGGGAGACCCAGTTTCAATTGCCTGCTCTGCTACATCCTTCCTGTGTGACTTTAGGCAAGTCACTTAGCCTCTCTGTGCCTCAGTTCCCCTCTGTAAAATGGGGACTTCCCCACCTTGCTGAGATGTTGTGAGAAGAAATACATTTAAAGAATGAGATGCTCAGTTAACTATAGTGATGGGTGCCACATAAGTATCTTAGGTATATATACAGGTTGGTTTATCAGATTAAGAATCCATTATACCTACTCTGATTCAAATTACAAAGGTGGCACATCAAATACTTTTTGCTCTTCAGATATTGCACTCTTCAGTTTAAATCTTGATCTGCTTCTTTAGATGAAGAGTAGTCATGGGTGGGGTGGGGGGAGGAGGAACACAAGGAGGTAATTCTGAAAAGTTCCTCTAAGACTATTCTGTTTTGCTGCATTGTAAACTTCTTAACTCTCTCCTGCAAGTTATTCAACATCACCATTATGACAATGAGATTGCAAATGTCCTATGACATTTGCAACATTTTGCTAAATCAGTAGTGTGGTTCAAGAATTTGCGGTCTTCCAGGCTAAAATAAATTGATCATAAAAACTCAATTTCTATGGCCCAGTCACCAGTTTATGAAAGTTTTCTGGCTAGCGTACAGCTACAACTCTGGTCAGTAACATAAATGCAATAAAAGTCTAGGTTGTCAGTAAATTGGGGTAGGATGCCAGCGAGGAATCCATTATTTTTTTTAATTTGAAAAACCATTCAAGTGTTCAAGTATCGTTTTCAGAATTCCTCACCAGACATTCTCTGAATTAGAAGTGACAAGAGCTGTATATCTTTTCAAGAGTTGCCTTCTAAATTAACTAGAAACATTATTATACTGGCAAGATGATTGATCCCCTTTGGAAATAAAATTAAGAGCCAAATCCTGCAAACTTTTACCCATGCAAATAAGGAATTGCAGGATCGGATTCCAACACAACAGTGTTAAAATGTAAAAAGGGAGATTTACATGCATTGGGGATCCAATCTTGCAACACTTACTCTTGGAAGTAGTCCATACATAAGCAGTCCCATTAATTTCAGTGAGACTACCTTCATGAGGAACAACTGCAGGATCAAACCCACAGTTAGCAGTATTAGTATCTCATTAATGTTCCAGCTCCCATCCAGTAGAAAATGGCATGCTATTTCATTTAAGGGGCATCAGCGGCTTTCAGCATTACATGGCTGTCAGCTCTGATAAATCTCTCCATGCTTAACTGTAAATATATTTTTACCAGAACCTGGTTCTTGCTCTAGACCAGATCTACCATATGAAGGAATCCTCCTGAAGTTACCAACAAAGAGGAGATAATATACGATGGGTTTGGATACTTTAGAAACACCTGAGATTATGAGAGAGCCATAGACAGACAGGGATATAAGGTGTTATGAAACTTTCCATCATCTCCACTCATGTTTGTTTGTGATGGGTTGCCCATTCCTGTCTCTTTGTGGAAGGTCCTCTGTATCACATGGAAAGATCTAGAAAACATTACTCATAGTTTATTTCACATTTCCATAATCTTTTAATTTAGCCTCTAGAGTCAGTGACATTCAAAGTTTCAAGGACTTCAAACATATTTATAATGTAGGAATCTATACATTTTCTCGTTTCTCAATTTTCTCACTTTAACCTTATAGATGGGACACAGAATAAGGTACTAATACAGCTAATTTAAAATCTTTACAGAAGGTAGCATTGGGATTTGTGAAAGAAGGTCCATGGGTGACATTTTGTGAGATTTTGTTCATAGACAGAAGACATTTTTGATTGCTGATTTTTTTTAAAGTCCTGGTGAGACTTGTATAATGATAGCAAATCTGCAAAATGTAATGAAATCAGGCAAGCTTTTAATAATATTTCTCAATCTTGAAGAAAAAAAAAGAATTGTTACTCAATTTTTGCCTTTTGTTGCCTATATCTGTACTTACTAACAATCTAAAATCCAAAATCATTATCCTCTGGACTATTATATTCATACAACCTCAGTAGCACACTGTCTTGCAGAACATACTTGATAGTAGAGGGAAACACTACCTCCAACTGAAGCGCATGATTTAACTTTTAAAGATGGCGGCAGGCAGATAATCAGCAGTGAGATTATTTTTCCTTCTTTTGAAGAAATTCACAGCATAAGGGGATAATAAATATGTGCCTATTTTTTAGCTCTTTTCACTACTCCAAGTGTATTTTATACAATAATGGTATTCAGCATGTAAGATTAGCTCATAGCCCCACGCAGAAATTACATTTTTGAGGTGTGTAAACGCTTAGATTTGTTAAATTCGATGTACAAGTGACAGTTGAAATAGTTTTTAGACACATTAATTTCTGATGGTGAGTAAAAATTGGTGAAGTTCAGTTGCTCTGGTTATGAGAGGCCAAATAAATTAGGCGAGGCAAATGAGGAGGCATTCATTTCAGCATAGCTGGGTGAGAATTTATTATCAATTCCCATTTACAACAATGGGAGCTGCATGGCTAACTCTCAGCCTAAAACACTACCAAACTTACCTTAAATTACTTTACACAGTGGGACACAGACAGTAGATCAAACTGCAATGTGGCAGATTCACACTGTAGAGGAACAGCTACTCTTTGGTCCCAGGGAGCCTACACATGTTTGAGGGGACAAGCTCAGTCTCTGGTAGCTAAGGCTGAAGTTATCTCATTCTTTGCATTTTACATACCTTCCATTGTCACTATAAACTCCCCAGTTGAACTCTATGGTTTTTTTAGTTTGGTTCACTAGCAAGATCAGGATAGTCTGTTGTCATGTTGCTTCCTAGATATTAAGTAAAGGTATCAGAATGAAGATTTGCAGGAGGCAGATTGAAACTGACAGGGCAATGAATAGTAATATACATACTGGCCCAGATATTCACTTGATGTAAATCAGTGTAGCTTCACTGAAGTCAATGGACGTTTATCAATTCACACCAGCTGAGGATCATGGCCCCTAATTAGAATGAATGCAAATAGGATGGACCAGCATTGCTTCAGATGATATGGGAAGCGAGTGTCTGCCTTGCCAAGGTTTATTGATGAATAAGGCCTGAAAAAAGACATGTGAGGGATAGCAATATTAATGGTATTGGACTGATTTTGTGTTTCATGACCTTCCTTAGACTTATGCAGCTCCAATGTCTTGCAAAAAAAAAAAAAAAATCCCTTATTAATGCTAAAGGAAAAGAAAGCTGTTTGAGATGCAGCTGCATGGTTCTGAAATGAAATTAGTGACTTAAAAAAAGCAAAAAGCAAAATATATTCAATGAAATGTTAAACTGGCTGTTTGTACTGACGATTCTCTTGCCTGCCTCTGGCAGGCTCACATTGTAGTTCTATGAAAGGACTTGGTGACTAGCCTGGAAAGGAAAAAAATCATTACAAATGTGGGTTTTTGCAAGTTTATGAAAGGTAGAAGTAGAGGGAGTGCTCGTGGGGCATTTATGCATGGTTTATATGCAGATTTGGCAGGGGTGGGGGGAATATCACTCCTTCCAAGCAAAAGCTCTGTGAGAAAAGT